CACATGTGAAACTTCACATGTGAAATTTCACATGTGAATTTGGAACATGTGACTTTTCACATGTGAACACATGTGAAATTATGTGTTTCGCATGTGAAGTTTCACATGTGAAATTTCACATGTGAATTTGGAACATGTGAATTTGGAACATGTGAATTTGGAACATGTGACTTTTCACATGTGAACACATGTGAAATTATGTGTTTCACATGTGAAACTTCACATGTGAAATTTCACATGTGAAGTTTCACATGTGAATTTGGAACATGTGAAACATAATTTCACATGTGAAATTTCGCATGTGAAAAATCACATGTTCCAAATTCACATGTGAAATTTCACACATGTGAAATCATGTGGAATTTTTGTAAGGGCTGTGTATCCTATGTGACACCAATCAACAGCACAGGTATTGCACGGAAGCATATTGGGGTTTCAGTTGGTGGCCTCAAACGTCAGATCAGGCGCCTTGCATCTCGGAGGTCGTGGTTTTGATTCCCTCTGAAGACTAGTGAGTGACACTATGCGAAGGAGTCAAAGTTCTATCGAAAATTGTGGGTTTTCTCCGGATACTCTGGTTTCCCCCCACAGGAAATGTTGACAGAATGGGTTGGGATAAATCCATAACCAACCCTTCCATCGTAGCTGTGCTTCATGATCAGACATGAATCATACGGTGGCAGTCATATATGTCCGACACAACACATCAGCTCATATTGTAAATAATATCTGCTCGAGCATCGGGGCATAAAGCTGTATTATATAATATATAATGTACTCTTTTGTTATCCTAGTGAATATTCTTTCCTACTCAATGCCAGTTGGGCAAACAACCAAGAATGGAAAAGTGCATTACAAAGACACATCTTATAATGGAGTAATTGTTAATGGCTTTTACAAAAATGGCACGGGAATACCTACAGATGGCAAGTTTGGCCCTGCTAACTCGAAAGAATTGAAAGGCCTTCGATGGGTAGGTTGGTCTTCTTTACTGACTCAATCACAGTACATTGACATTACATTTGAGTTTTCTAATTTGAGAATGTTTACCAATGTTACACTAACTGTAAATGTTGACAAGAAACGTAGTAATGGTCTATTTCGTAGCTCACAGATATTCTTTGCTTCGACCAAAGAATATTTCTCAGAAACATCCTTTCTTCAGTACTGTCGAAGTGATTTCCTAACCAAATATAATTCATACATTGCAAATGTAACTTTGTTACTTTGTGAAAATACAGCAAGGTTTATCAAGATGAGGTTATATTTTGGTGTGGGAAAATGGTTTCTAATCACCGAGATCAATTTTAATTCAGGTATTGCGGCTTGCTGATTATATCTTGAACTTGAGACTGACAATGTGATAATACAGGGTGTATAAAAAAAACGCAACCTCGGAATTTCCTAAGAAATCACTTTGCAATTCTTAAGCATAAAAGATTTTAGGCCCCTGGGAATTGAAATCGAATTGCTACTGGATCATTTTAAAAAGGCATTAATAATTCATGAAGAAAACACAAAGTAAAATCATAAGCCTGTCGTATCTGTAG